TAACAGATTTTTTGCCTATGGTTTCCCTGTTTCTGTTTTTAAAACTTCTACAGTGACAAAGTATCATTTTTTGTAATCAGAAAAACTTTTGTGAATATTAACATTACAAAGAATTTATATGTAAGATTGATATAATGAGAATTAATTGAAGCAACTGGACTTCAGAATAATAATGTGTATTTTGGGTGTAAAATGGACTTAATGACGTGTATTTTGGGTGTAAAATGTTCTGGTTTTTGAAAAGACTAAATATGTTTGTAGCAAAATAACAACAGCAAAACCCAAACACAAGCACGCAGGGCTGTGTGTGTGCGTCTGTGACATTCGGGTCATGTCTATAGTATTCAACATTTCTGTGAGGACGCTGATAGGCCTTCTCAGTTATTCACCGTATTCTCACAATTCTTATTGGAAAACTTAGTTGAAAATCATGAAAATAACAAGAAAAATTGAATGTACCATCAACTCCTCTCTTTGGTGATCTCTAGAGAGAGCAAAAGCATGCAACTCCCCAGCCTGATGACACAGGATCACCTTCCTAGGGTTATAGTGAAAATAGAGTGGAAAAATGACAGGAAAGCCAGGTAGCTCATAGCAAGCCAGACCCAGTGGGTGAACTCAGCATCCTCTAAGACAGTTAAAAATATATAAGGCAACAACCAGTTTATTAGAAAAAGCCATTTACCACATTTTAATGTTTTCAGTTAGGATCTCTAGTTGGCTCAGGAGGAACCTAGAAATATATTTTCGAAAAGCACCAAAATTTTTCCCACCCCGAAACGTCAAGGCTGGGGGTCACTTGGTGTGTGGTGGTGAATTCCAGGTTTCAGTTCAGCGCTGAGCCACTTATCTCTGGGTTCCAGAGACCCAGAGACCCACAGTAAACCTGTTTTCTGGGTGGCCAGAGTGAAGGGAGCCTGAGGATCTGAAAGGCTTATTACCTTTCTTTCCCAACTATGGAGCAGTCAGGAAAAAAATACCCCTCTCATTTGTTAACTCAATAACAGGCTTTAACTGATCTGAGGCCTGGATGGCACAGATAATTGCACTAATTAGTGTGGGATGGAGCGACAGCAGGGTAGAGAGCTTTGGGGAACTCAAGCAATTAAGCTGAATTGAGGGAGGAGGAAACCAGAGGAGTAGGAAGGCGGAAGATGAGAGGAAGAGGAAGGGGACAGGAAGGAGAAGAGGGAAGTAGGAATAGAGGAGGAAGAGGGAAGGAAGAAAGACGGCGGGGGGGGGAGATAGAGTGAGTTGTCTTACAAATTTGGCATATGGGCTCTAGATGTCTGGAAGAAATTCTACTGCAGGGCTCCCGGGCCACTTCTCATACTTAGGGCAGGATCAGAGGTGAAGGTCCAAGGATGAACATGGTGAGGAAGGGAGCTTTATATTAGCAGTAAGAGAAAGCCACAGGGAACAGGTGTGTGTGTGTGTGTGTGTGTGTGTGTGTGGGTGTGTGGGTGTGTGTGTGTGTGTGTGTGTGTGTGTTCACACCTGTATCTAAAGTTACAATTAGGAAAAATAGCAGCAGAGTCTTAAAGTTTCCACAGTGCCAACACCTCTAGTGATGTCTACATTGGCTTGCCTGTTCTTTGTTGGCAAAGTCACTTCCTTAGTTGGAAGTGATTGTTCAGTAATCCCATGGCGCTTTCCCGTGGGATTCTAAATTTAAAATGTGAAAACAAACTCCAAGGCATGCCAGAGAGGGTTGCTACGAGTTGAGTCCTCTTTAGAAGCAGAGGCAGGTAATTATGCCATGAAAATAGCTCTCCACTTTCTTCAATGTTATGCATCAAATCCTGTTTCTTTTCCTTTTTCAGGAAATGGTAAACAGAGAAAGAGAGGGGAGTTCCAGACCCAGGGTACCAGAATACTACAGACGAAATTTCAAGTCTGGCTTGGTAAGCCTGTCATTTCACAAGCCTAAAAAAGCTAGACGATGCTCACACCAAAGACAATACCAGCTGTGGGAAGGCTGTCCTCATAGATTCTTTGGGTGCTGGTGTCTAGGTGCTATGATTTTAAACTTAAGCCATAATTAGAAATGAAAGAGGAAAACCAGCAGACTCTCAGGGAAAGGTTGTGGCTACCTGGAGACTTTTGACTTTTAAGGACAAAATGAGGGCTAGTGACACAGCTCAATACACGTGTCAGCCTTGGGTTTGATCCCAGCACTGCCATAAACAACGTGAAATGCCAGATATACATACATACATACATACATACATACATACATACTTTGTCTGTCCGTCTGTCTGTGGTGGAGATTGAATCTAAGGCCTTGTAGACCTTGTACACACCAAACAAGCACCACTGAGCTACATCCCTTCTCTTGAAAACGATTATTGGGGGCATTGGTGGTGTATGCCTTTAATCCCAGCACTCAGGAGGCAGAGGCAGGCCGATCTCTGTGAGTTCGAGGCCAGCCTGGTCTACAGAGTGAGTTCCAGGACAACTTCCAAAGACACAGAGAAACCCTGTCTTGAAAAACCACAAAACAACAAAAACAAAAAAACAAAACAGAAAACTATTATTGGAAGGAAGATATAGTCTCAGACTTGCTGCTTTCAGGCTTTAGTTAAGGATCTTTAAAATGAAAAGTCTAAGTCCTTGAAATAATTATTAACTTTCCTAAAAACGTTGCATGTTGACTTTTTATTGAACTGGTCCATCTGAAAGATGTTTCTGGTACATTAGATCAATACTGCAATATGGCTCTTCTGGTCAGTTTGGATTTAATTTTTCTAGAAGTTTATTTAACTTCACTTTATGTGCACTGGTGTGAGGGTGTCAGATGCTCTAGAAATGAAATTATAGACAGTTGTGAGCTGCCAGGTGGATGCTGGCAATTGAACCCAGGTCCTCTGGAAAAGCAGCCAATGCTCTTAACAGCTGAGCTAGCTCTCCTGCCGGATTTGTTAGATCTTTAGATATATGAATACCTCAAGGGTAAGATGTGACATTTATTTATAACAAATAAAGCTTACCTGAAGATCAGAGTACAAAGCTAGCCACACTAGTTAGCCATAGAGGTCAGGCAGTGGTGGTCACACTTTTAATCCCAGCTCTCGGGAGACAGAGGCAGACGAATCTGTCAGTTCAAGGCCACCCTTGACTACGTGAAATTGATTCAGTCTAAAAGAGAAGCAGAGCTCACACAAAGGTGATCTCAGCACTTGGTATCCCACACCTAAGCCCCAGCACTAGAGATGAATACAAGGCAAGGAGAAGACAGGAGCTCAGTGAGTTCGAGCAACAGTGCAGCTGGGAGCAGTTTTGGTGGATCACCCCTTCTGTCTGAGCATGGGTAGAGGTGAGAACTCTCTAGTGGCTGGCCGCTTTGCTTCTGTGATCTTCAGTATTAACCCCAATAACTGTCTCTGGGTTTTTATTATTTGTGCTACAGCAAGACATTCATTGAACCAAAGACACAGTACTAAACTAATTACCGGCGACTTCTGGCATTCATGTCTCAGTTATCTGGCCCTGGAGCCATACTGCCTGGCTCTTCCTTGAATAAATGTATTTTTAATTTTAAAAACTTTGACTGTTATCCCCCCTACTCTTTAAACATAACCCCGGTTCAGTCCGTTGTGTGTGATGGGGAAGGGTACACCCGAGTGTAGACTGGAGGACAATTGTGGGGACAGGCTCTATGTGGGTTCCACCAATTGAACTCTGGGTTGTCCCGTTTAGCAGCTTCCTAAACCCACTGGGCTATCTCCTCCACCCTTGAGTAAATTAAGTCTTTGTTCCTCATTTCTCCTCTTAGCAAGGTAAACACGTCTGTGAATCTTGTAAAGAACAAAGCCGGGCCTACAATAGGATCTGGCCCATTTTGGCTAAGTCAGTGTTGAAGAGAGTGAGGCAGTGGGCAGGTAAGAGAGAAATGAATCCAAGAATACAAAGGAGGGGAACATGTGAACTCTTTGGAGAGCTGACTAGGTCACTGGAGAAGAGGCAGACCAAGCAGAAGGTATAAGGCGGAAGAGAACTATACATCTGAACGGCTCACCGGGGCACTGTAAACCATCCCTGGCAGCTGGATCATGAGCTTTGAGAGAACTTGGACTTGGTAGATACGACAGTATGTTTCCACCAGACCTATGAGATAATACAGCAGGGGGCTGTTTAAAAAAGCAGGGGGGAAATATGGGAGATGTAGATTTTAACACAGTATGGAGACTTCAGACAAGTGGAGCTAGAGAGCTGGATACACAAACCTGAGGCAAACCATGACAGCGTTCCCCATGGTGGCAGCTTCTGCCATGAACTGGTAGGAAGAATTACAGCATAGGGTATGCTGGCCTCAGGGAACAGGCAGGAGACAGAATAAAGAGGTTCCTTTTGCTTTGCTTGTTATACACAGAACTTTAACATCGGAGCTGGGCAAGAAAGCACAAAGCACAGCAGGCAAATAACTCGCCTAGCATGGACAAGGTATGGGCTCACACTCGGCCCATAAAATAAACAAGATGCTCAGTGAAATTGGAATTGACTTTTTAATGTGTCTCTTCTATCACATATACTCAGATTCAAATTTAACTGGATACCTTCTGTTCTTCTTTGCTCACAGAAGAGCCTAGCTTCGGTGTATTTAATGAGGAAATGAACAAATAATCACACTGTAAGGCATTACGGTAAGTGCAGCTGAATAGTCAGGTCAGGAAAAGACACCCGCCCCCTCAACAGCAGAAGTGTACATGGAAGAGATGATAATGTTCTTGAGTCTGATGAGAAGTCAGGCAGTTTCATCTGATTCTCCAGAGTCCTGAGTTAATCTGCTTGTCTTCACTCACTGAGCGCCCCCTCCAGTTCTTCAAGCTCTTAGTTACAAAATGGAAGATACTAATAACGTCTACTTTACAGAAGTAGGTACAATGCACCTAAACATGGGAGGTTCTCCCTACATGCTAATCCCTACTGTGAATTAAAAGGTCACAGGGCAAACAGACTGCTCGTCAAATACTCGTTAGTGGCATACAATAACAGCAATGTTGAAGTAAGTAGTTTTATTTCCATGATCATTTATTTACACTGTACAGACACTAATGAAAAGCACCCACAAGTTCACAGTACATTACAATATATTTACTTTAAAAATATATTCCTTTATAAAAGGTTCAAAGAACACTGGCATGTCCACGTGACAAAACTCTCAAAGCCTGTCACCAATTCTGTGATAGCCAGAATGCTTCCAAGTACTGTCAGTTCACAATCACAGGCCACCATTAGAGTTGTAAATACATACAGGTTTTAAATAAAAATGAATTCTATAGTGGAAAGTCTTGAGGCGATACGTGTTAGTTCATTAACATAAATACTTTCATGGAGATGTCTGTCATAATAGCGCACAATAGCAAACACTCCGCCCAAGCCCCATCTCAAGAGCTCAGCAGCCCATGTGTTCTCGTCACGACTCTCTACTTCTTCTTCTTGGCTGCTTCTCCTGGCTCCACTCTTCGAGTTTTAGAAGCACGCTCATCTTTGTCATCATCTTGAAGTGGGAAAGAAGAGGGCTTCATTAGTAAGTCTTTAAAAATCACTCATTCATTAGCTTTACACCACAACACTCATCAGCTGTTTGAACGCTTACCAATATAATCTAAATTCTAATTTTCAGAACCCTGATATTAAACTACATATGAAAACAAACTTTTTTTTTTTAATTTATAGCAACACACCATTTGTCAATGAACTTTTAGGGACTTTTATGTGGCTGAATTTATCTTTTCAGAACCCTGATATTAAACTACATATGAAAACAAACTTTTTTTTTTTTTAATTTATAGCAACACACCATTTGTAAATGAACTTTTAGGGACTTTTATGTGGCTGAATTTATCTTTTTCCAGGAAAAACAGCTTTTTCTGAAACGACTGGTCTCAGAAAGTTTCCAGTGCATATACTGCAAGTATTTAAATACACAGCAAACTTACAGGAATAGAGCAAATTTCCTTCCACAAAACATGCATCTCTTCTTAGCGATGCTATGTGGCCACCAGCTGTACTTTTCCTCTTCCAGTCTTATTATCAACCCACTACCTGCTCTGAGGTTAAAAGCACAAGTGAAGGGTCAGAGAATCTACAGGGGTCTACTGGACCATTCCTTCCTGGTGGTCAGAGCATCTTAACAGCAGGGTAAGCAGGCTCCACCTTAACATTAAGGAACATTAAGGAACATTTCCTTAACATTAAGGAAAATTTAGATGGAGGAAGACTATAGAACCATACAATAAACAGTACCTCCATTCCCCACCATTATTGTTTATGGCCATGGAAAATTTCCATGAACAAAAATGTCAAACCTGAAAGAGTGGATCTTTTCAACTATTTTTTAAAAATCCAATTTTGTGGTTCAATATACATAGGCTAGCACAGACTAATTGCTAATTCATATCTCCCTAAACAAATGTGTGATGTAAAAAATTCTACCCATGTGGTGGTGGTGGGCCTGCAGTCCTAGCACTCAGGAGGCTGAGACAGGAGGATTGCTATGAGTTTGAGGCCAGCCAGCTATACACAGCAACACCCCAGAAGAATTCCATATAGATACACAAGGCTTCTGACCTCCTTACCTCCACGGTACCAGGGACCAAGTCCATAGCCTTCCGCCTTCCAGACGACCATTCTATACTGAACACCCTTAGCCTTGGCTTTATTCTGCTTTCTCTCCTTTCCCTGCTCCTCCCTTTCTTCCTATGCAGCCTAGACCTTCCTGATTTCATAATTCCCTTACCTCAAGCTTCCCAGGTACAAAATTATGGAAACAAGCCTCCATGCCTGGCTGAATTTTATTTTCTTAGTCAACAGGACTACTCCAATAAAATATTTTGATGTTTTAAGACCTTTACATTAAAAGATCAAGGAAACTGCCAAGGTCAAATCACAAATCATGTGACAAAAAAATGTGTAACCCAGGCTGGGTCCAAATGCCTGACTCTCCCGCTTCCACGAGTGTAGGAATTATTGGTGTGAAGCCACCACACCCACCTCAAACAAACAAATAAACAAACAAACAAACAAACTCTGGATTTTAGCTGGAGCTTCATGATCAAGTTTCAAATTATTTTCAGAAATAATAAAAGTTGAAGGCATTTTTTGAAGACTACTATCAAGCAACATTATTAACACACACTGAAAAGGGACATTTCTGCTTTTATTCTGCCACTTACTACAGGTCAATCTACTGATAAACACTGAAACCACAACATAACACTGCAATTGGAAAAATGTTCCCATGAGTGATTGGAGCAGGAGAGCTCCTGCCCCCTAGTGTCAAAATAAGGTACTGCCATAAAAACCAGCAGGGGAATAGCTTTGTTTTTTTTTTAAAACCCTAACATAGCACAGACATGCTGATATGAAAACAATTTTTCTATTACACAACTTGAATCGCCCAAGGTAAACAACATTACCTTAACCTGTGTACTTTTAAAATAAAAACAAAAGTTAAATAGAAATCGTTTGCTCCAAAAAAAAAAAAAAAATTAGTGCCGGGAGTTGGTGGCTCACGCCTTTAATCCCAGCACTCGGGAGGCAGAGGCAGGCAGATCTCTATGAGGTCGAGGCCAGCCTGATCTCCAGAGTGAGTGCCAGGATAGGCACCAAAGCTACACAGAGAAACCCTGTGTGTGTGTGGGGGGGAATCATTTGCTCCATTTGCTGGCTTTTGCAGTTACTTGCTAACAAAGCTTTAATCAAAGTTTTACTTCTCCCCTGATAAGCAGTGAGGCAAGGTTGGATTTAACCTTTTATAAGCTCCTCTAAATTCTGAAAGTGGTAAAAAAGGGCAAAGAAGAATATGGGCTAGACAAATAAAAGCAAGGTCGCTTAATAATTTAGGATATAGGTAAGTGTGTAGACTTTTTCATTAATCAGAAACTATAGGTAAACAATGTCAAGGCCAGGGAGATGAATCCCAGTAGTTTATGCAAAAGTCTGACCAATTAACATGTCTGAAACCTCAGATATTCCATGGCAAGGTGGGAGGGAGAGAGAGTGCCCAGCTCAAAGGCCACTAGACACAGCATGCTTGCATACGTAGCAGAGGAACTTCCAAAAAAGGCAGAAGACAAGGACCGACACCTAGGGTTGTCCTCTGGTCTCCACACTCACACATAAAAAAGACATGCTAATCAATACTTCATTACTAAAGTTAGATCCAGTAACCAATGCTTAAGCCCAAATTAAGAATTTAAGAGTTGCCAGTCAGTGGAGGCCTATGCTGGGTGGGATTCTGGGTCCTCATGCCTGTGAGGAAAGCATCTGTGAATGTGCTATTCCTCAGCCTTGAGCCACACCACTCAGTAACCACCCCCCCCCTTTTCAATTGCCGATTCACCTTCTGATCAAAAGGACTGGGTGGGCTATGGGAATGTGGGTGTCCCGTGTCATTTACTCGGAATTCTGGTAAATGAACCCAAAAGTTAGAAAAAAGATGATCCTTGCTTTCTTGTATAAAACTTCTGGCTTTATCCTAAGGGGACAGAGATGGAAGGGCACGAGACCACAGCAACTTGGATTATCAACTCTGGTCCCTTAAGAATGACAGCTTTTTAACTGTGAAAACACAATGGGACCAAACATCAGCTTAGTAAGGCACATCCTATTTCAAGGTTGAATTTGAAGTCCAATTTTGTCAGTTCCCAACATCGTGAATGTAGGCAAATTCTTTCATGCCAGACTATTTTTCTCATCTACAAGACAGTGCAAATGAAGGATGGGTCTCCACTGTGTCAGGTTGCTCAGAATGTTAAATTAGAAACTTGGATGAAGTGTGAACTGTGACCTTGGACAAGTCATAAGCTCTCATCTGTATTTCCCTATTCTGGTTTTGTAAGACTGTACAAGGATTCTCTATTCAAAAATACTTTTTAGTCAAAGTGTCACACAGTAAGAGGCATTAAAATTCACACGAAAAACCTATGCCTATAGTCCCAGTGCTAGGGAGCTGAAGGCAGAAGGAACTTGAGTTCAAGGTCATCTTCAGCTACAGTAGAAACCCCTTAAGGTTTCTCTGTAAGCCTGGTCCTTGTATTGGAAGATCAGAAATCTATTAAACCAAAAAGGCAAAAGCTCAGGATCAACTCAACAGTCATCCACTCACAATACGGCACTAGCATGGTACCACACACAGAGGGCCAGATCCGGCCTTTCAGAAACTAGAGAGCCTTATGAACAAACCACCACACAATGACATTGAATTGAATGAGCAGTACTGGCACGTCCAGGTAAAGGAGAGTAGACCAGTGTACTAGAAATTGTTTTCATGTTGGATTTTATCAGCCAACAGTTTAAAATGTTCAGTCTAGACTAAGGTGCAATGTACATCCAAAGGCAGGAACCCATATGACAGTGTGGTCCACTCAGGTCTGATTTCAAGATCTTAAAATGCTGGAATGGAGGCCTTCAAAATGATGGTGCTGGGTGGGTCACACCCAAAGCTCTCTCCTGTCCCAGGAGCTTTGGAGCAAGCCAGTTACACAATCAGACATGAATTTCAGAAGCTGGAGACACAGAGAAGTGGGGGTGTGAGTTTGCAGGCAGAGATTACTGTGGTAGCCCGAATAAAAACTGGACTTATGAGATTACCAACAAAGAAAGTCAAACCACCGCATGCCGGTTCCGTGCACAGCCGATTTCACTGCCACCCTGATTTCAGCTCTAAACCACAGAAGCCTTAATAGAAAATGAGGCCTTCAGCACATCACAGCTGCAGTTACAAGAACCTGTGAACTAACACCCGCTGCTCTAATGAGGCACCTTAAAAATCACCAACACCGGAGGTCTGTCTTAAAAATAGAGCAGGTACTGGGAATGGTGGCCCATGCCTTTAATCTTACCACTGAGAGGCAAAGACAGGCTGGCCTCAAAGCACACCCAGCTCACACAGACCTTGTCTCACACAAAATAAAGCCAAAAACCTGCAAGATGGAAGTGACTTCTTGTTAGTATCCAAAGTCAAGTCTTCCGGTTCACTAGGGTGTAACTTTTGCTCACTGAGTATCTCCTCCTCCCGGGACAGGGATTCTCTATGTAACACTCCCGGCCGTCCTGGAACTCACAGAGATCCACCTGCCTCTGCCTCCCGAGTGCTGGGATTAAAGACGTGAGCCACCACCTTATCTCCTTCTTAAAGCGAAGCAACGAGGTCAAAATCTTTACAGCCCTCTTACCTGACTCCACCGTCTCCTCCCCTTCCGGCAGAAGCCGGGCTTTCTTAGCATTCTGTGGGGCATCATCACCATTGTCCTCATAGATGTTCGACCATTTTATTGCCATGTCCAGCTCGGGCGGCGGCGGCGGCTTCTTCTCGGCAGCGTAGGTCTCTGGGGGCGGTACGTAGTTGGACTTCCAGACTTTGAATTCCTTTGGAGGCTGTTAAGGAAGCACATTAAGAAACCCTGTGAGGAACCGAGGTTCCTGCGACGGAAACGAGCGCATGCACCTCCCTGCCGCTCGCTCGCTCGCTCATCTTTCTGGCTGGCTTTTTAAATTTTATTTCCTTTTAAATCCTTTATGCTTTTTAAAAGACAACACTCTTTTTTTTTCTTTTTTTGTAATTTTCCATCAACATCACAACACCGTTAAGTGAAAAGTCAAAGGGTTCCCTAGATAAACAAAGCTCATAACTTTTAGTTACCAAGGAAGAGTCCAGTCTCAGATACTACGGCCAGGCTGACCCCTTCAGGAGGCTGCGGCAGACACTGTCTTGGCGGCAGCAGCAGGCACTTCGGCGTCAAAGGGAAGGGGGGGCGGGGAGAAGCTGCAGCGGGGGCGGGGAGTCACCAC